TGTTGCACCGTGGGACAGAGTGTCAGCTCACAACCTCCTGAGATGGGGATACTGAAGCACCACAAAAACGCCTCGCCCTCAACAGAGAGGAAGCACCTGGGGGTTGGGATGAGATGGAACCGGATGGGAGATTTATCCCAGTCCTCCAGCATGACAGACCCTTTAACTGCCCACTGTATTCTTCCCAAGTTACTTCAGCTAAATCCCTACCGGCAGAACAGCAGGGATGAGGAGAGGTGTCCTACAGAGAAAGTGTAGACTGAGAAAGTTTTACAATATAAATAGCATTCAAAATTATCATTAATAGTAAAAAGGATCTGGAAGAACAGAGGAGTGTCCCATTCCCACCCCTGCTCATTCATTAATGCGTCCTCATTTATGTGACAATAAATACCCACTCCCACCCTTGCTGTCTGATGCCATTCATTTAATGCTGGAGAAAGAAGGGGGGAGGGGGAGAGAGAGAGAGAGCACGCACCCCTCACCCCCCCCTTCCTACTGGCAAAAGCTGAGCTAGTTGTCTTTGTGACACCAATTCCTTGAATTTTATATATGTGTGTGTGTGTACATTATATATATAGAGAGAGACACACACACAAATATATATTTCTTAAATTCATTACTTGTTGTTCCCACCCACCCCCCCCTCCAAGAAGTGGAGATTATTATTAATATCGTACAACTGAAAACATAGAAAAATAAAACCCAGAAAGAAAAATGGGGGGATAGAGCCCCACCCATAACGAAGGGTCCCCAGATGGGCACAGGCCCCACGCACCATGCAGGGAGCAAGGAAAAGCAGCTGGTACCCTCAAGGTTCACGTCCATCTAAAAGGGTGTTTCTTGCTGCATCCTGCCCCCATGTTCTGTGATCTGCAGAATGAAGTGATGCAGCACCAGTCCTGCTGCGAACCTGTTTCTCTTACAGGGCTTGTGGAGGAGCACGGGTTTCCTTCCTTCCTCTCTCTCGTGTGTGTGGCACGGAGTTTGTTTTTCACTTGCCATCCCAATCTTTGTTCTTGCCTCATATGGGGTCCTCTTAGTAACTCTGTGTTAAGAGCAAAACCAAACCACTGCCGTTGTTGTCTCTAAGGTTAAGGAGAGGCTGCTGGAGCAACGGTAGAGGCTGGGGCAGCAGCTGGAGCTGGAGCAGGAGTTGGGGCTGGAGTAAGGGCTGGCTCGCCCTGTGGCCTGGAAGCATCACCATGGTCTGTGGAAGAAGCAGCCTCCTCTGGTTCTCCATCTTCTTTAGTGGCCAGGCCCTCAGGGTCAGGCAGCGATTCTTCAGAATCTGTGTTCAGGTCTTCCTCTTCATCATCATCCTCATCGTCATCATCATCATCCTCCTCTTCATCATCCTCCTCTTCTTCATTCATCTCCTCCTCATCCTCCTCTTCATCCTCTTGGGAAGAGTCATCCTCATCCTCCACATCACCAGAGCCAGATGCCACCGCCCCCCTCTCCTGAGGTGCAGTCGTGGCTCTGCTCGGTGATGGACCTTCAGTGACTTCTGACTGCTTCTTGCTGAGGTCCAGGGAATCATTGAGGCCCACACCAGCTGCATTCTGCAGGAAGAAGAGAGAGCTGTTGTTGTCAGTGCTGAGGTTGAGGGAACTGTCCAGGTTGATGGAAGAGTTCTGGATGTCATACTCGAGAGTGGAGTGGGCAAGGCCCTCAGGGCCAGGAGAGATGGCAGGAAGCTCCCCTCGCTCCTGCTTCTCATGTTTGCGCTTGTGCGAGTCCATCTGTGACATGCCCACCACTGTGTGTTTGCAGCCGGGGTAGGTGCAATGGAAGTGGGAGCACTTGAGTTTGTACTTGCAGTCAGGCACCTCGCAGTCCACGCTTGAGCTGAACTGGCAGAAGCCAGCAGCACTGATGACGTCCTGCTTGCCGTGGTGCTTACGGTGGGCTGTCACCTTAGTGCTGTCAGTGCAGCGGAAGCCACAACGCAGACAGTGGAAGTGTGTGCTATTGCCAGAGAACTGACAGTCTGGGAAGTTGCAACTCAGTGAAGACTTGAAGCGTTTGAAATCATCCAAAACCAGGTTGTCAACACGATCATGATGCTGGGCGTGCTTATACATGTGGGTACGGCCACAGAACTTGTAGCCACAATTCTCCCGCGTGCAGTGGTAGTGGGTAACCTTGAGAGAGAATTGGCAGCTGGAGTCCTTGCAGTCCTCGTAGAGGTCATAGCGCCGAAATCCCTCCAGCATCATCCCTTCATCCAGCATCTTGCGTGAGGATGCGGTCTTGCGGCGCTTGCCAAATGGGGACATGTCCTCAATAATCCAGAAACGCTTTTTGGCCCCCGAGGCAGTTGGCATAGTGATGGTATTCCCTGAGGAGAAAAATCAGAGTGGTGTTGCTGACAGCCAGGTCTTTTCATCTCCTAACCACCCTGGCAAGCTCTGTATTTGCCAAGACAGGATGCTGCAACTGTCCCCCCACCCCAGCAGCTTATCCCTCAAGCTCTAAGTAAGCCTCAGCTCTGGGATTGTGGGCTGGCTGACGCCTGCTGGACATGGCTTCCTCAATTTTCAGCATATCCCACCCTGCCTCTAATTGCTGCTCTTGTATATTGATACTATCCAAATGCTAACTGTTGCTTCTCTGTTTTGCTATTCTCATAGTTTCTCCTGCTGCTTCGGTAATCTCTAGTTCTATTTTCCTCAAATCAGACTTTAATACAGAGGAGTGGCTTATTCCAGTCCAAGGACTGAGGTGTTTTACTGTAGTTCACTGGGATTGAAGTGGTAAAAGAGTTTAAGCATGCTAAAAACTGGTCCATGTATACTGTTTTCCCATATCCAGGCTCCTATAATACACTACAATTGCCAAGGACAGGCAGGAAGTGAAGGAAGATCCCATGCATGATTAAAACTGCAAGGGGGGGGGAATTTATAGAAATAGGATGGACTTTGGCCAGGAGACTGCAACATCCCTCACTGTAATGAGCCTACATATTACGATGAGTGCACTTAGAAAGACAGATGGACAGATGTTCAATGGGGCTAATTCTCATCATCACTAGCCAGTGGACTCTGAGAAAAAATACCAGTTCTACAGCTTTCCCTTGGGTCTCAAAAATCACATGATGCCCCTAGTAAATAAAGAGCCCTCATCTATCTTCCACTTTCATTCACAGGGCCAGCATAACTGGCTAGTGCTCGCGTCCCCTAGGATCAAACTGACATCAAGAACTCGACCTCATTATATCTATTAACTTTTTTTCTTCTCTGCTTGCTATTTCCAGAACCAAACCACAATCTGTATCAACCTGCAGTACAGACAAGGTTGGGGACAAGAATTTCTCACCAGGTGCAGAATTGTGAGTGTAATTGGAAATTATAGTTTGCAACTAAAATATACTTTTTTTTTTTTTTTACTTCCCCCTCCCTTCATGCTGAAACTGCCATCCTCTTAAAAAGAGGCATGAATGGTGACATGCAGTGCCTTGCGGCCTGAGAATCCAGAACAGTTTGCATCCTTGTTTAGGAGACTGAAGAAACGGTCATCTGTTTGACTGTTGTAGAATTATTTTTTTTTTCCTGGCTGATAAGCAGGTATTAAAAGTGATGAATGCTATTTTTGCCATATCTGGCCCTTCAAATGACAACCATTTAAGGGAAGGTGGCGAACATTGAAGGAGACCTCCAAAAGTTAAACTGGCACTGAAGTCAATGGAAATAGTAGCAGCAACCTAATCTCCGCATGGTTCACATGCCTGGGCTATACAGATTGCAGGATAAGCAAAGAACAAAAGATTTTCCCACAGCCGTTTGTTACATGGCACTTTTGCTCTGACTGCAAATCAGGATACCAGCTTGGGGCATCCATGGTGAGACCATCTTGGTGACATGTAGCTGGCGGAAACTGCGCGTTAAGGCTAATTTAACCAGCTACCAGTGAAAGAATAACTTTCTGTCACTGTAGATTTTTAATCAGCAAGCTCTTAGCTATAGAATCTGTGACCAATTACTCTCTTCTGCCCCCCACCCCCCCCAACATCTGGTATTGTAAAATCTTGTTCTCTGCTTCCAGGCAACTAGTATAAGTGCATTGTTGCCTGGACAAATCGCTGCTATCCAAACTCCTTACTCCTTTTAAAAAAAATTACAGCCAAACCACCAAGTCTTTTATCATTAGTATGAATGCTCATCTTGCCGGCCTTCAGACAGGAATATGGGACAGACCATCCTAGGAGAAAGACTCTGGACTGGAACTTAAATTTTACTTGTTTTAAACTCAATGTATCTGTCCAACTTTTACAACAGTTCAAACAGATGTGCTTAAAACTTTAGTTAAACCAGTTCTGTTTTCTCATACAGGCAACATTTCAGAGCAGGGATATGAGTAAGAGATGATAACATGGGACACTCTCCTCCTTTAGCCACTAGACAACATGCAGTCCCTAGCACCCAGTTGAAGATTACAAGCCTCAACAGAAATAATCTCAATGGTAAGTGCATGCCATAAGCTTGTCTTTTCAACTACTAATGATGTAAACGTTCATGAAACTATACAAAGGCAAAAAGAAAAGAAACTTAAAAATATATAATTAGAGGAAAACACAGCACAAGGTCAAGATGTTTCAGGTTGCATGTAAATCAGTTAAAAAAAAAAAAAAGCAAAAATAGAGTTTCTTGTGAAATTTTGTTCATTGGAACACGCTCCTCCAGACAAGGCAAGGATCCTTCTCCTGCCAAGTCCCATGAGAAGAACCTGTGAACTTCCAAGTGGAGTTGGTCCTCCAGCCATACTCCCAACCATTTACCTTGGATCTGCGCATTACTAAAACTGGCAGGAAGAATGACTGGGACATTTGTAGGCTGCTAGAATCCTCTTAAGCGTCAACTTTAAGCACAAATATGCCTTTAATTAACTAGAAAAGAGCCGAGAGTTGGGAAAAGAAGCCAACTGAGACACACCCTAAAAAACATTCCCAGCTGGAATGAGAATCTCCAGACTGAGACATCTCTGATCTCAGTCACACATGGGAAACACGGCAGCTTAAAACTAAAAATCTAAATGTATTTTCTGCAGCTGTTAAGAGCAGATGTAAATAACAGTGAGTGTGAGAAACAGCCTGAGCTGTCTGATGATGTCATCGTAGTGACACTGACTGTACTTCACTCTGTTACTGGTGCTGGGGAAAGCAGCCCTGAATTTTATCGCTTCGTATATGAATAGGAAGCAGTGAAGCTTACAGTTCCCAAAAATATGGGAACTGGGTAGCTTGTCAGACATTTACCTGCTGAGATGTGTGTAGCACACTATGGTAGGCACTGGGTTGGGTGGCCTGGAAGATCTAAACAAGAATTCCAAGTCCCATTAATGCTACAAAAGCAAAAGTTTACTTTGTGGCCACCCTGCTGTTAACAAGAGGCTGAAAGTGCATTTTAACTAGGGATTTTGTTAGATTTTTCTCAAAGTTTGGAATTGGTGGAAATTGCTCTTGGGTATCCAAATGCCTCTCAATGATTTGCTGTGGTTTTGGTTACCCTTAGCTGTGGGTACTGTGTCAGCAGACAACAGGAGTAGGCATGGACGGGCCCTTGGACAAAGTTAAATGAGACACAGTGACATATGCTTTTTTACTGACCCAAAGGTGCAGAGAAAAAAAATGTGGCCAGGGTGAGTGGGGAAGGAGATGGGCACAGGACACTAAGAGAGAAAGCAAAGAAGTGTTACCTGCTGCATCCTGAACTAAGGGAACGTCACTTTTTACTGGAGTTGGAGTGGCAATGATGGGCGAAAACCCAGTGGTGCTGGCGGCAGGCATGACAATGCCTCTGCTGGATCCAAGAGTAGCACTGAGCAGAGAGTATGAGAGACAAGATGGAGAGAAAAGATAGGGGAGGGTGGGAAGGGGAGACCTAAGCAGGGCTTGTGAGAAAGATGGAGGCAGAGATGGTGGTTGAGGTTGTGGTGCATTGTGGGTAGCATCATCGGCAGCAGCAGTAGCAGTAGAAGGAACGAGGCAGCCTGGAGAATGTGGAGAGAAAAAAAAAGCAGAAAAAAAGGAAAAAAAAAAACCAAAACAACAAAACAAAAACAACAAAAACAACAACAAAACAAACAAAAAAAAGAACTGAAATGAGAACCCAAGAGCAGAAGCAATATGATGAAAATGGAAAATACATTCACAAATGTATGAAACAGAATTGTAACAGAGAAGAAACAGAAGGTGAGAACTGACAGTATCAGGAAGAGGCAGGTTGTCTCTGCAGAAGGTAAAGTGGCTTTAGTGGCATGGGGGACGAGCCACAGGCTTTCACACAGAAATTCCTGCTTGTTTGGTCCTTGTTCACCTATATGGTGCCAGCTTGTACCAACTCATAGCTGTAAGGGTGCTCTTACACTTTGGACGGGTGGAGTTGCTTGCTGCCTGGCTAGCCATGGGGTGCCATTTCCTAGGAAGTGTGACTCAGGCCAGATGGCATACTGACAAAGGAGCGAGTGCTAGGAACCACTGTCCCACCAAACTCTCTGGAGGAGCTTTAATGTCATGGGGCAACCACTGTCATGACCCAGCAGTGTTCATACAATGTGTAGTTAAATGTGCTGTATGATAACCTTCATCTAACTGGTGTGGGAAAGAAAAGTAGGAAAATGTGTACGAAATTAAAGCAAACTCAGTGAGGCAGCCTATCTAGAATGTAACACTTAACCCTGGGAAGGACAGCTAAGAGATCCCTGGATCACCACTAGATGATAACAGAATTCATAAAAGATATCCAACTACTGAAAAGACAACCCTGTAATACGGGGCAGTGGAGATGGCTACACATAATTATCCTGGCAAACAGGAAACAATGGCAGAAAGTTAATTCCAAAAAGAGGGGATGATGGAGGTTTCCTCTGTGCAACACTGCACAAAGTGAACAAGATTTTTTTGCATGAGGAAGGGAGCTCAGTGAGCTGCTTTTATGTGTTGATTTCTGAAGATGTGGTAGGGTTTTTTCCCTATGTATATAATATTTGCTATTGCAAAGTCTTTCTGTACCTCAGCAGTATAGGAAAGTGCCTGACTTCAGATGCTGCACAAGGAAATACAAAAGGGTATCAGGGGAAATCCCACGTACAGAACAGGCGCACAACTGGGTTTTTTTTTTCCTTTTTTTAAATCAGTTATTAAAATAGATCCAAGACACAGGATAAAAACCTCTCTTCAGGGGAGAAAAAAGATACGCTGTTAGTTCATGGATGCTTGAGGTGCACATTTTGATGGATCTCTTCTCACATATGATGGAGGGAGCAAGGGTTAGTATGAGGCACTGTTGTGAAGCTGGTACAGTTTATATTTTAAGGTGCAGTTGTCCTTTGGCCTCACATGAGTTTGTCTCCCAAGAGAGCAGGCAACTGCTGATCTATTTCACACACTCTCCCTTCTCTCTTACCTGCTGATGTACTTTCATTGCCCACTGGAGTGCTGGAGCAGCTGCGGTCCATATTGGAAGATTCAGAGGAGATACCCCCAGGGCTACAGCCAGTGTAGTCCATGTACTCATCTGTTTCAGTGTCCATCATGCTCGGGGGTCCCTGAAAGGAAGCTGGGGTTCCTGATGAGGCTGGGCTGGGTGCCATGCTGCCAACCTGGGGGAGATTTTCATTTCTTGGAGTGTGGCCAATAACCTGCAGCAAGAAAACAGGACAGGGACTTTCACACCAAAAGCAAGATGCCAAGACCAAAACCATCTGTCTGCAATGTGTATTTGTCTCTGCCACAGTTCATGAGGGATAGCTGGAACATGCTCGTGAGTGGAATCCATGACACTGTGTCTTGGAGTGTCACTCTGCCTTCATTGGGAGCTTGGAGCCCTAAACTTGGCACATGTATCCTGGTATGTGAATTGTGATGCACTCAGAGGCTAGGAGTGTTAATCTTGGCACCAGTATCCTTGTGTGTGGATTCTGATGCATTCGAAACCAGGAGGTGTTAATATTGGTATTACTACCTTACTGTGTAGGTCCTGCTGCATTTAGAGACTGGAAATATGACTACGAACATGACTGTCCTAGTACCTGCATGCTGAGACACTGCAACAAGGGAACACAGACTGAAACCAGTGACGTCTGTGTATGCTCTGTTCACATGCAGCTGCTGTGGCCTGGCATGGTCTTCTCTGGACAGTTACATGGGTAGGTACCCAGAAGCAAAGTATGTCCAAACACACCACTAAGTGCCTACTGAGCACTAAGGAATGGGAAAAAATGGGGTTAGTACATGTAAATGCAGAAAGGCAGTGGCAGGACAGCAATCTGGTTAGCTTTGCCATGTGCCCTGATTTGTAGTTTCATCCTTGTTTTGTTGTTTGCTGGACTGCTCCATGGGCTAAGCACGGCAACAGAGCCAGACTAGCACTGTATGCTCCCAGGATTGCTCAGGCCACAATTACCACTTCTCCACTGCTGAAGTGAGATAGGATTACCAGTGAAAGGAGATGGAGGTCAAAACCAGCATTTTCTGCTCAGCATGTACTAAAATTCTTAGGGTTAGACTCAGCATGTACTAGAAGAGTAGTGAAGACAAATCTCTTTGTTAAATCTCTCCTACATTTGATTCTTGTACCTAAGCTTTTTATGTTCAGAACAAAAGCTACCACAACAGTAACACCAGTTCCTTGGCATCTGTGAACTCCTTAAATCCAACAGCAGTAGACTTGAACAATTAACTTATTGACAGTACCTAATAACTAATAGGGACCTGTCATTCCCGTGTTGCGGAATGAAAGGAGGTTCCCATCTTGCTTCTGCAGATGACCCCTTTCAGTTTTCGTATACAGAAGATGTCCTTAGGGCCAGATCAGTCACAGGTATTAAAATAAAGCTAGCTTGTTTCATCTCCCAAGTCAATGGAAATTAAAGCAGTACAAGCAGGAGGTTGCAGGACTGCTGCCATTCTGAGCAGCCGCTCAGTGCTGCAGTTGAAACTCTTCAATTTATTCATGAAACACACCAACCTAATCTGCCAGTTGCTCTCAGTTATGTGTTAGAAAAGAAGCAACTGCATTGCTCTGCTGCTTCCTGAGAGAGGACAAGGAGTGCCCCAAACTAATGCCAAATCAATAAGGGAAGAGAAATTTTGAGACTGGTATTTCTCCCATCCTAGGCAGAAGCAGCAAATAATTCTTTATGGGCAACAGGAAATGTTTGCTTTAACCAGCAAGTTCAATTCTTCCACATCCTAAGCACTTTCATTTTAATAAGCCATTTGGTGTATATTGAGAGAGCAGGGAGGGAATGCAAGTTGTAAATATGAGTATTTTAGTGATATCCTCATTTTTTTTTCTCTGTAATTCACAAGGAAAAGATGTTTACACTAAGTAATGCTTTGATGTCTATGCTTCATCATCTTTCCTCTTCTTGTAGAAGTCCAACCAAGTAAAGCTCACTTGGGTGAACTCGCGCATCCCCAGTGCAGACAAACATCCTTAAGAGTTTGGGTACGAGCATACCCTAAAGCAGTTCTGCAGCAGAACCAAAGGGACCAGCTCTACATGAGGATCTACAACTTAAATAACCAGTGAGTCACCTGAGTAGGAACACGATCAAAGTTCTTCCCCAGCATCCTTCTCATGTGCTTTCTGGCATGGGATGTCATTTGGTGCTTGAGCAGGAAGGAGAACTGGCAGCCCTCTCGAATGCAGTGGAAGTGGCTGTTCACCTGGTTGTATTTGCAACCTACAAACACAAAACCATTGTATATAGTGCATGAAAGGTACCAAGAGGGAAGGGGACTGTAGGGAAGATGATATGGAGGTGGGGCAAGGATACTGCCACATTGATTTCTGGTGGATTCAAGATTATCAATGGTCACAGGTTCTTCAGGAACAGTCCTGAATGAAAAAAAAAAAACCAACCCCATGATCTTTTGCCTAGTGAGCAACTGCAGGAGAGGATTACAGTGTACGTAGATTTAAGAAGTGAGCCTATGCTGCGGAATAGTCCCATCCCACTTCATTTTGTTATAAAGGATCATTACCATTACATCTAGTAGTGCCTAATGCTCTCCAGTCTTAGCTAGCGCCTTTTCCTTTACAAAGAGAACAAACCCAAGATATTTAACTGCATCATATAAGTTATAATTGAAAATACATGCTCATAATTAGATTAGAAATGAAAAGTTCTTTTTCTCTTTTTTCCTTTAACTGTGCTCTCAGAAAAGCAGTCTTTCAAAAGCTCTCGCTCTGGACAGTGTATGCTCTCTGGTCAGATAGAAATGAGCCAGGAAGTGTTTATTGCCACTCCAAATTTGTTATGTAATAGGGGTAGCTACTGAACAACAAGCAATTTATATGGGTTCTGGCTAACAGCACTTGACACATTTTGCTCCTCGTGGATAGTGCCATGCATGCTGGGAGTCTGTGTATCTCATTAACAGATAATCCTAAGCAGCTACATTCTATAGCTGATAAATAATGGCTAGCTGCAGTTAAAACACAGCTATATCAATAATCAGGTTCTGTCTGTTCTCCATCATCCCTTGGCCATGCCCTTATACACACAGAGGTACAGACCTACAGACAGGCTCAGTTTTACTCATCTATCACCTAGATATGATGGGTGTCATTCACTTTTACTTAAAATATGTATTTTTCATCTCGCCCTTCCCACCCATACATGTGTGTATATATTTATACATGCAAAACCATACCTATAAAAAAATCACATGTGTGTTTGTTCAAAACCATTCACAGCCCTTAACGCAGGCCAGTGCTTTCTGCACCTGCTGTATATACATACACAACGTAGAGAGGTACAGAGAAGTAGACATGCACTTACACGTTGGTATAACCATATATATCTACACAAACACATCCAGCTACACCATCCCATCATGCTGCCTGTACCTACATAGGCAAATGCAGAGTGCTGGCTAAATGTATGTTTATTGCACAGCAAGCCCAACCTATAGGCATGTATACATACTGCTGGATGCACATACCCCATCACTCCCAAAAATAAACGCTGCTGACACATGCACAGCCTGTAGCTGCCTCGCTGCCAAACAGCTCCTAAATCACCCAGCCCATCTTCAGCTCACAGATAGCATTTTATGTGGATGCCAAGTTTATGTTTGTTTAGGTATTGCACTCCCCCACAGCCCCACCTCATCTGCCCTCCCCATTGCACTGAGCCGTTCTTTGGGATGGAGAACAAACAGTGCTGGCAGGACTGAAACAGTATCAGCAAAGGGCAGGTGAAGGCTCGCCTGTTGCTAGGGCATGCGTTTAGGCTGGGTGTCATATATCATTGTCCTGCTTTGTCTAGCCCCTGCTATCACCTGAAACACCTAAAGTTGAGCAAATAACAGCAACTGCTGAATCTACTGACATGTATAAATGAGACCTAGGTAAGTACTGGCTGTGGCGTGTTGACACTCATTACCCTGGTTACCGCAAACAGGCTACCATTTGAGTATAAATTCTTGATGTATTCAAAGCTGAAAAGAAAAGCTTGGTTCTGGTTATTGTGGCTGTTGCCCTGCGATGTGAGAGAACAGCACCCGGGAGTGTTATTCTGAACCCTGTTTTGTTTCAGCCTTTGTTCCAACCAGGAGCGATACGGAGGACGGGGTCTGTGATACTGTTAAGCCAAAACACAAATAAGACCGGTTAAGTGAATCCCAGGCAGTTCAGGATGGAGCTGTGCTGGAGCTATCCTTAGGGATTCCCGCCAGTTCAGAGCCCTGGATTTCAGCTCTAGACACCTCCCTGGGAATGCATTCTACTTTCTGTTGTGCGTTTGTTTTACCACCTTTACACTAGAGGCACTTAGATTTAATAACTACTGCAGCGCTGCTAATAGTTTTGGCAAGTGGGCAAGCCACAGTCTGAGGCTGTGCCACATCTCAGGTGTTTCTGTACGCCGTGCTCTGGTGGAAGGCCGGCACAAAGAATACACAGCGCTGTGCTCCCTGCTGTTCACAAGTGGATGTGGAGAATGCTTTCGGAGAAGTAAACCCTTTGGCTTTCAATGTGCCGCACTGGCTAAAACCCAAAAGTTTCATTTGAAGCTGCCTGGCATCAGGCAAAGCAACAATTTCCTTGATACAGGAAGACTGTCACACAAGGCACTCATCAGAACAGGCATCTCCCCCAAGCATTTTTTTTCTTACTCCTAAGAGCACCCTTAAACTCCACCCAAGACAAGCAGTAGGCCCAAAATACTACAAAATAAACCCGCAAACCAAACAAAAAGGCCTTGACAATTAGATAAAAAGGAAAAGCAAAGGAGAAGCTATATCTCCAGACAAATACATATAATCCTCTATATTACAGTTTCTAGCCATTTAACTCAGGTCTATTTGGTCTGCTTCTACTCAGGCAGACCAGGAACTGCTTTCTGTTTTGTTCCATTTCTTAGGTAGTGATTTAATGACCAAACACATCTTAAGCATAACTCACAGGCTCTAACCGATGGCATTCTTAGCCTGGGCATGGGACAGACCACATGAGAAAGGTGATGGGAAAGAGAAGAAAACTCACCTAGTCTGCCACACTCTTCTCGCTTGGTAAAATACTTGAAGCCATTGGCTGCCCTTCTCTCTGCCTTCTCGTGTTTTTTCACATGCCAGGGCAGTTTGGTGGTGATGTTAGTAACAAAGTAGCAGCCAGGACGAAGACAGTGGTAATGCCCTCGCATCCTGAATTCACAGTGCTAGAGAGGAGCAAACAGGCAGGTTGCTTTAAGCAGATCCAAAACAAACGCACCCTGATCTGCCTGCTACTAATGCCGTCCCTCTGAGACATGACAGAGAGGCCTGAACTGATACTCTAGATCACATCCATCTGATCTTCCACAAGCCACAATGCAAATTTGTTCACTGTTGTGTATTTTGTATTGCTGTCGTGTATTCTGTATTGCATTTATTCTATGTTGAAACACCCCCAAACCTAACTCATGGGTTTCCCTGGTATTCATCATAGGTTTTTTTAGATCATTCTAGTTGCCTTGTCCACTTCACCCAAATCAAAGAAACAAAATCAGTGTGATTTTTCAATTTGCTGGAAACCAAACATTTTGCTAGACAATGTAATTAAGACCCTTCCATGGTTCTGTAGTTAGACCAGGAATTAAACACTCGGCCTCATTTCCTTTTGGATAATCTACTTGCTCTTTCCCATTCTTCTCCCGCACACATATTCGGGCTAGAACACTGCTTCTGAATTGCTCTTACCTGGTTTGGACAGAGACACTGCAATGAATAGTAAGCAAACTGGTCTCGCACATTCACCAAATTATTGTTGGGGTTGATGTGGTCCAGGCAGTGGGATTCTGCTTTGCCAGAGGTTTTGCACACATACTTGCAGTTCCCAAAGAGACAGTGGAAGTGGAATTTGTTGGCATACTTGCAGTCCGTTGCCAGGCAGGGATCACTGGAATACATCCAAAACCCAGTCATCACCTTCACTCATTTCACACATTTGTTTCTTTGCCAAAATTTAATTCAAGGGGAGCCCAGCTGAAGCCTCTGTTCCAAACATGGCCTACAGATTTCCCATAGCCACCTTCCTCTTTAGAAAAATTGATGCTGACAACACTACCTACTGCAATTCCACCAAGCTAGTGCACTTTCTTGATTAAGATTATTAAAATACAGAAATGCATGGTGGGTTCTGTAGTCTTTGAGAGCCACACTTCCAATTTAAAGCTTTCTCCACATCTGGATAGATGCTGTTTCACCCTGCCTGTACGTATCTCAATGGATTCAGGTAAGTTTTTCCCATCTCAATTTTATGTAACTGAAATGAAACTCTTGGGCGTGCACACTGCAAGATGCCAGGACTTCCCCTGATGAGACAAAATCAGCAGTGGCCTGTTTAATTAGCTAAATGGTTTTGTACCTTACTCCCCCCACCCATTCCGTGGATTTCTGGCTGCACAGACAGAGGTCAGATCGGAAGTAGCTGAACATCGATCTCCAGGATCCGAAGTACTGTACCCAATGATACCTACTCAGATATGTGAAACAGAATTAATATACTTCTTTGAAAGCAGACAAATGACTGTCAATATGACCCAGAGACTGATACCAGCCTTAATAACTACGCTGTAATGCCTAACCTGATCCTGACTCCTGTGTCCTCCTGTAAACTAGGTAACTTCTGTGCCTCTGTCTGTGTAACAGATACACCACCATCATCACAGTAACACTGTGAGACTTCTTTAATGTTTTAAAAGAAGGTCATGTTACCTTCTGCCAGACACCATTGTGAATTACTTTGTAAACTAACACTACAAAACCAGAGGCACAGAATTTAAGGCGACTCCTTACACTTGTACAGAAGTTCAGCCAGGACAGCAAAACTTTGACAAATCTGAAGTGAGAGAGAAATGCTCCCTATTCCTTGAGCTGCTGAGACACCCATTCCTGGTAAGGCAGAGTCCAAGCACTTGTGCCCCCTCCACTATCTGACCCCTAGTCTTCTTCACTGAAAAAAAAAAGAAATGAAAGAAAAAAAGAAAAAAAAAGCTAAAAAAAGCTGTATTATACTGAGCTACAGAGAGCATTCCTAGGAAAGGGCCATAGCACTTACTGGCGACAAATCCAGGAGAAATCCAGCAAGCTTCCTTTGCAGCAATCTGTAAACACCTACTCTTAGTTACTTCTGTGTACTTTGCTGCAGTAACACCTCACCTTTACATGACTGAGCACTCAGTTGCCTACTGATTTTTGCTCAGCTACAGAAACTGATGGCAAGTCTCAGACTTGTAGCAAGATCTGGAGGTGGGCTAGTCAGGCATCATGCTGAAAACTTTAGAGATGCTATGATTCCTCTGTAGCCTGCAGGGTCAAAAACACTGCAAAGACGCATGTATTTCTGTACACCTCTCATGAGGTAAAAAAATTTGCTTCAGCGGTATGTTAGCAAGTTTATTTCTCCTTGAAAATCATACCTAAAAGTGCTCCCAGATATACTCGAAAATCTTGGGGTTTTTTCCTAGGATAACTGCAGGTGTTTTCTAGACTTTACAGAAGTAAATTTTCTGTGAGATAAAGCCCAGAGTGCTTTCTGGACAAGTGATCTCTCAGTGGGCAACTACAAAGATGTAGTACTACAGCTCTGAGGAGCAGTAAAGAGGGGATTGCAAGCCTGGAGAGGACACGAGGAGGCAAGTGGGATCTACAACTTACTTCTCCTGGAACTGGAGAAATCCGGGTTTGACCTGAGGCTTGGCGTTCTCCAGGGAAGTTGTTGCCAAGGGTGAAGTTGCCAGGTTAGGCACTGACGCTGGGATCTGAGGCATCTGGGGTATGGTTGAAGCCAGCTGCTTCCAAGCTAGCAGTGTAGGGGCAGAGGGCACAGTAGCTGGACTTGGAGTGGGCACATCGAGGGCAGGAGCACTTGCCATGGTGACAGAAGTAGCAGATGGTGATGAAGGGGCCAGTGAAGCCTTATTCTCAGTAGTAGTTGAGAAGGGAGACTCAGAGTTATTTTTCACAGTTCCACCCTCAGTTCGGAAGTGAAAACTGAAAAAAAACCAGTGTGATTCAGACATAAATTCTTGACCATTTCGTATAACTTGATTAAACATCAACAGGAACATTGCAGGAGTCTGCAAACAAATTAGCTGAGGTTAAATCCTAGAAGGGGCTCTGCAAATGTTGTGGAAAGATTCAGGGGCCTCCTAGACTGTCTGTGAAGAGAAGGGAATTCATTAAGAGGGGTGCAGACAGAAAGATGCAGTAACGTTGAAATCAGAGCGATGCAAGAATTGCTGCAGTCAGTAAGATCAATATGCCTGTGAGGGCACTTACCATCACTGTTGTGAGAAGCCAGTAGTTTGTAGTAGGGAACCACAGGGAACTATCCAATGCCAGAAACCAACTACTAACAGATCTTTCTGTCTTAACATTTGCAAAATCTCCTTCCCTTTAAACCCGTTCAGAATCAGTCGCGTGGCCAGCTGCTGAAAGCCTTACTCATTCTTTACTTGGGCAAATCTTCCATTGCCTCTAAAAGGAACTTGGCATGGTTTTGAACTGCAGATGATGCTCTTTAGAAATGTGCAACAGGGAAAATTTCCAATATCCCACCAATCCTTTGCTAGCCCCCTCACTGTAACAGTGGGAGCATACCTTAAATTTATTCTTCACCCAAGAGTCATCTAGAGTTCTGAGCATGCTGTACAGCCTCTGTAATATAGGCCATATTATCTAGCCTACAGTCCTGGCTACCAAACTCTGGGCTGTCTGCTACTTTCCAAAATGATGTGACATGACAAAGAGTTTCCAATATAGAACATGGCAAGGTGAGAAGGAGGTTGCTGTTGGGCTGGACAGTTTGACTGCTTCATTTCAAGATCCTTATCCACATGATGTGAAACTCTTAAACAAAACCATATAAACTAAGGGCTAGGGAAAACTTGTTAAAAGAGATTTGTCACGACAAGACAAACAATAAAATGCTTTCTACACTCCAGTGATGGGGAGCTGTCTACTCCACAAAAAGTCTGTATCCTGTGACAAAGGTTGGATTTACAGGATCCTCTCCCTCTCGTATTTTCTTATTTCTTTGTATGGTATATTTGTGTGCTGTGAGAAATATGGGTCTCCTTGAAATATGGGCCAAGCAAGCTATAGAAAAAAAAAAAAGTCCAATTCTCAGCCTTGCCAATACTGTGACACATACCTCTTTTTCACAAGCTGAGTGCATTTATTGTGAAACAAAATAAAGAGGACATAGTGTTCCAAAAATTTTAGCTGAGCATGTTTACACAGGGAGCATGTGGATACCCGAATCACTGCCCTCAGGACTGCCCACCTTCCTGCTCTTGAATAGAGTTACTCAGTAAGGTCTCTTGTCCTGCAGTGTGCGTGTTGTAGAGTTTTCTCAAGGTTTCCCAAGACTCGTGCTCTTACTTACTTGGCATGCTTGATGGCTCCATCCAGGGTGCTGAAGAGGGCACCGCATTCCTCCACCACACAATGGAAATGCACCTTATGAAGAAAGTCGCACTGCGCATCACAGAAATCCTTGGTACCAAACCTGGCCAAAGCAGACAAGCAGGCATCTTATGCAAGGCCCCAGGAGACAAGCCATGTTGGAATAGACATATTTTCTTTGTTTTTAAACTCTACTATCGTTCTGTTTTCTAATGTTGCTGTCCCTGCTGCACAAACAGCACTGCTGGCATTGTTGCTTCATTATTGCCTGTTCTATAGATCTGAACATGTAGAACAAGAACCTGATTTCTCTCCAACTGAACTTGACCAAGAAACTCCCATTCACTTTTAGGAATACAGAACTATTCTGAAACAAAAGATGAAAATCATTAGTGTTCTTCAGCGGCTATGTACCAAAGCCAAGGCTCTGAGAACAATCAAAGGTGAGTAAATTAAGGGAAATCCAGACCAAGAGGACACTGCTGAATCATTATGGGTCTTTTTTTTTCTTTTTTCTTTTTTTTCTTTTCTCTGTTTCAGTCTACTGGGAGTAGCAAAAGGGAAGAAACAACACTGGTTCAAGGGATTCTAGATCCAGAATCCGCCCACCCCCCACCTTGGAACAACAGGGTATTACATAAATGGGAGAGACGAAGTATCACCTATATAGCAGTTACAGCCTAGTATGCATAAATACTGAAAAGGACAATCCCTGAAGTGCAGGAGAAACAATGCTGCAATGCAAAAAAACAGAGCAAAAGCTATCATCTAAGATACACTTCTTGTCACCTTGGGGAAAACGATCAAGAGGGTAAAAACAACTAAGCAGGGCTTCACTCCTTATCCACTGCTGAGATTCTCCAGACATAATAAGAGTAGCACAGATACATGCGATTTCAGGAAACTCCAGAATCACAGGGAATCAGGAAGTCAAGTAAAAAACACCAGCAGGTAGGATTTGAAACTTAACAGGGGAATCTTGCATAATTAAGATACAACAAACTACAATTGCTCTGATGAGCAGGAAAGCAAGAAACAAACAGCAGCCTTTGTGTCCCCAGGAGGGACCTCTTCACAATTTGAGGGTAAAGGGAAAAGAAAAAAAACTTGTACTGGAGAGGGAAGGTCAGTGGATATAGAATACATGCAGTCAGTTAAGGTTTCAAGGGAGAAGATGAAGGAAAGTAAAGGTGTGGTGAGACAGAGATAAGAAACCAAGTTACTGCAAGGTAAAGGGGTGGTTTTATCAGGGACGAGACATTGTACTTAGAAAGGTGGTCCAATAAAAATGGGAGGAGATGAGCCAAAAATGGCTGCCTTATAAAATGTGCTTTGGACAGGAAAACTAAAGACAAAGCACACAATTAGGGATAAAATTAAGACCTTCTAGAGGAGCAGATAAAGGGACTGGTTGGAAAATATAAATATGCACAAATCAGCCAGTCTGGATGATGTATGTCCTGAAGTGCAATGGAAATTAACTCACAAAGTGATTGCATTACTATTTGCTATTTTTTAAGCCATAGAGAAGAGGGAAGTACTAGGACAGTGGCAAAAAAAAAAAAAAATAAAATCTAGGTACTGATTCTTTGATGGAAAAAAAAAGACAAGTGATCTTTGGCAATTATCCTACCTCTAGTCTTAACTTCTCCTTCCAGTAAAGTAATGGAACAAATATTAAGAGGGAGGAGAAAATCATTAAACATCTAGAGGATAAAGAAACCATGAGCAATAAACAGCATCAGGATTATAAAGAATAAATCTTGCCAGACAAATTTAATTGCTTTTTTTGATAGAATTACAAAATTAGTGGATGAAGGGATGCAATATATTTGGATTTTAGTAAAGCATTTTGATACAGTCTCGCATATGCTTAGAATTAATTCAAATTGGCCTCGATGTGAATGATACCTCATGGATTGAAAACTGGCTGAAGGACCGTAAACAAAGGCTAATGACAAACAGCAACATATCGAGCTGGGAGGAGGTATCTTGTGAATACTGTGAGGATGACTTTGGTTAGGTCTGAGCTTATTTAACATCTTCATTAGTAATCTAGAAGAAGGAGTAAACAGCGTGTTAATGAAATTCACAGAAGATACTAAACTGGGAGGAGTTGGCAACACCAGTGCAAGAGGAAAAAAATAACAGAGACACCTTGCAAGACAAGGGAGAAGGTTCAGAATACAAGAGTCATATTTGGAAATGTACAGCTAATACATCTGGGGGTGGGGGGTGTATTTTTATACATAGGGGACTCATGAGAGCAACATTAAAAGCAATCCTGTGTAACAGTGGATGGTAAACATGATACACATACATTATGCAGTATAGATGCAAACAAGGTAGCACAATTGTGAGCTGCATATAGGGGCAGGAAGCTGCTTTTATCTGGTGTAGTGAGATACAGGAGTGGCAGCCCAATTCTGCACCCATTCAGGGAACAGCAAGAACGACAACAACATGATCAGCAGGCTGAAGGGACTAATTTACAAAGTCAGATTAAAGGAAATAAATAAGCTTGGTTAAATGGTATGCTAAAAGTCTGTGACTATCTGAAGGGGGTGAACTCCAATTGCAGAGAGGAATTATCTGCTGTGGTTCAAGGGGATATAACCAGGAGAACTGCAACAAAATTACAAAAAGGGAAATTCACGCAGCATACCATGAAAAAAATTGGGACAGTGAGACATATTAGGTGGTAGAATAATGCACCCAGAGACAAACCATAGCCACACTACTTGGCAGAATTAAAACCAGGCTGGACAAAATGCAAATGGACTGCAAGGAAGGATCTCACACAGGCCAGGGGCAGATGGACTAGAAGACTTTCTAGTCTTCTCCATTGAAGTCTGTGATTTACGAACTGTCTGTAGGCATTTGTAGGCAACTATCTGTGTCACAGCACAAACCCATATGTGTCTGCCTGGGTGTATCTCTGTATGCTCAAAGCATGTGTCTGTCTGGGCATGTATGTGCATGTGTCTGTGTGTGGGTGTGTTCTGTATCTGTTCCATTTTCCTTTCAAGCCTCCTTGTCTGCAACAAAAACAGCAGAAACCATCCCAGTTCCCATACCCCTTACATTCCTTATTTTGTTTCAGTGGCCTACTCCTATGATCAGAGGAAATGCCACAGCAAGCATTTTAAGGCTTCTGTGATCTGTGTGTAATAACTAAACATGGTCCAACAGCAGTTCAGTGCTAAGAGCAGGCTGCACTGGACTTGCAGACTGGGGATATAAAGAGGAGCCAAAGATGAAGTCTAGGCTAACATGTTGTACTACATGAAGATCTGTGCTTGTTGTTGGTTCTCAAGGTCCCTTTGTAAAATAATTCTATGTGGACAGATATTTCTTATAGGACATTAACACCTACCACAGACAGCTGGGACTGAGGACTAAATGTGCTCCAGAAGGTAATCAGCATATCACAGAATTAGGCCTTTAAATTCAAGAGAACTCTGCATTCAAGTGTGAGCTAATGAGCCAGACACTTATTTTCCCTTTCCTCTATTCCCAGTTTCACACTCCTTACCGGCGCAGGTACATCTTCCATGGCTCAGAGAGCTTCTCCTGGACAAGTGCCTTCACTGCCTTGCCCAAGTACTGTGTTGGCTCTGCAGCCCCAGCCTGGCTGCCATCTCCTTCTGTCTTAATGTTCAGCAAACACTGGTCTTGGACATCTGGAACAAGAACATAGACACTGCATCAAGCCCAGCACACGGCCGTGGACACTGCCAGTCTGGAAACCCTCAGGACTGTCCCATGGAAAGCTGTGTCTTCAAAGATTAAGAGAGAAGACAAGAAGTCTGCACAGGCTGCCTCAACTGCATCAGAAAAACACCTCGCTCGCTCTTCCAAAATCCACCCAGCTACCACAAAGTACTCAGGTGTCCATCTAATATTCATGGCTCTTGTGTAAAGTAATGAAGCATCATGTCTATTTTATACATGGGGAAACAAGTGAAGAGATACATACCTTGAGTGTGGAAAAGGTGTGCAAGCTTAAACATTACTAACCCTATACAGCTCCTACAAAATGCTGGTGTCAGTACAGAGCTGGCAATAGAACTGGTAAGCTCTAGTTTATTTAGAATCATCAAGGATGTCTCCTTCTTTAGAGTGACTATCAGGTATGTTTGGGGGTGGGAGGTGGGAAATTTCATTCAACTGGGAAAAAAGTCTGGCTCCTGGAAAATTCTAACTAACTTCAATAAAGAAATGATGTCACTTTCTGTGCTAAATGGACATGTCCTCTACAAAGCAGGACTTGGACTCACAATTGAAAGGCTTCAAAGAGATTCTACACAGAGACAGTTTAGAGGTCCAGGCATATGATGTGCAAGACAGAAAAAAAGAAGTTACTTGAATGCTTAGAGAGAAAATTTTCTTTCAGAATAAATGCACAGTTCTCCAGAGTCTTTCTTGCTTTGTTGTGCTCTCAGTTACCTCCAGTATAGAATCACAGAATGGTTTGGGTTGGAAGGGACCTTAAAGATCCTCTAGTTCCAACCCCTTGCCATGGGCATGGACACCCTCCACTAGACTAGTAACAACAGTGAAATTCACAGCATGAATAAAATGCAGGATTGGGCCCAATACTTGCATTATAAACTCCACCCACTTGAGGATCTTGAAGCCCTTTATAAATATCAGTTAATTAAGCCTGACAGCCCCCCTAAATAAACTGCAATACACTACAGGAACCCTGGCTATTTGAGGCTCTCTTAATGCCCCCTGAAGGTAAAGCCCCTGCTGCTATGTGGAGACTGTAGCTCTTTATGACTGGAGTCAGAAATTCAGGTCGTCTTTTTCCATTGGTGTTTGCTGGGCATTCAATTTCTATAAAGGGTTCTTTTTCTAAGACAAATAATGAAGGATTCCTCTGCGAACAGAAATTGTGTGCAGCAAGAGGAAGAAGCAAGCATGATGTGTTCCTGAGCACACTGAGCTTGATTCTGCAATCCTTAGTCGTGGAATAGGCTCCTTCAAACCAGTGGACTCTAAACTTTGCTGGTTTATGTCACTGGTTAATCCCACTCCTTCTTTAAAAAAGGAACAAACGTGAACCACTCGTATTGTGTAGCGCTACACTTATTTTGTGCAGCATAAAGAACCTTATGCAGGGTTGCACACAAACAAATGCTTATTTCTAAATATATCCTTAAATCTCATATTGTCCCAGACATTTTCAAGTGAAGCATCTATTGAAACAGAACTTCCCTGAGCTGGGGCCTTCAGAATGACTCAGGACCCCAGACAACAGACTTACTAAACAGATTTACTCGCTAGAGAAAGTGAGTGCATATTTGGAATCACTAAAAGGACAATACACAGGAATGAATAAGAAATTAAGTTTAAAAGGGAACATCAAAACCCCACGGTAACAGAGAGCCAATGGAGGAGAAAAGTGGCATAAGGATAAACGCAGAAATTTAACAACACAGAGAAAAAAGAGTGATGAAATAAGAGAGAAAGGAGACGAGAGATTACTAGGCAAAGTCACTTTGCCCTCTCTTGAGGGTTATATGGCCTTGATGCATGTAACGCCCAGAGCCAAGGGGATGGCAATAGTTATGCCTGTAAAACCTATCACACAGTAGAATATTAAAGCATGGCTCAAAGGCTGCCCTGATCTCTACTGCAGTTGTATACAACAGCAAAATTAATCTCAGTACAGTAGAATTTATCATGTGAAAGGGAAATATGTATTTGAGATGATGTATAATTTAAAGAAAAAGTACGGAAAAAGAAACTGTGCATTATCTAAAATAAATATAGACCATGGTAAAGGGGGCTCTGTTGGACACCATTACTCACATCAGAAAGACAGAAATTGATGATTTTGGCTCAAAACTTCTAATTTTTTTTCTTCTCTTTCATAAAAACAAATGATTCTCCTCCCCCTCCTCTAATGAAAGAAAATGTTTTTAAGTAAATAAACAAAATGAGTAACTATAAAAAGAGAGCGAGAGAGAAGTTGCCAGGTTCTGGAAATAAAAATGAAAAAAAAAAAAAAAAAAATCTTTCGGAGCCCTCCTCTGTCTAGAAAGGATGAAGAAAGAAAAAAAAGGTGTCAGAGGCTGCAATATATTTCTTCAGCCAGTTCATTAAATTAATTCGTAAGCAGTGGCTCTGAAATTATACCCGATGAAAAATGGTCTCAAAATTTAAATGGTACAAACTCATCTTATTAGAGGCAAAACATTAAAAAACAAACGCATCTCTTCCCCCCCTCCCCGCCATCGCAGCTTTAATTTCTCTTGGTGGGGGGAATGAAAGGCGTTTGATGGATGGCTCTTACCTTATTCATAAGCGAGGATAAAAGAGATGAATTTGCCGAGACTGTGTGGCCATTTGATTCATTACTGGAACACACAAACCAACAGGGTTTAGTTAAGATGTGCACAGGGACTGTGAGCACTGAGATTAATCCTTCTGCCTTCAAGCTGCCTCACTCCTCACCTGCTACATCCGGAGGAAGAGAATGATGCCCACCCTCCCTTGGGCAAGCCAAACTCTTTTACTTGTGATAGCCAAGATGAGAGAAAGAGGGTCCCAAGTTTGCAGAATTTAGTTCTTTGAACTACTAAACAGTCCAGACCTCTTCCTCCAGTGTTCACATCATCACACTTTTTTATTAGCTGACTCACAACCCACCTTACTCCTTCATCCATTGGAACTTTCAAAAAAATGTCACAAAACTAGGGGAGATGCTGATGGAAGACTCATACTGCCAGGGACACAGGCCCCCTGGGCAGCAGAGGAGAAGGCAGGGCAACAATCCTTATGGCCACAGCTAAGCATGCTGAAAGGCAACCTTAGTATTTCACATACATCGATAGTAGTTCTAGTCGACTACAAGTGCTGGGGTCCCAAATTGAAACTTGTTCAAATAAAGTATAGAAAGCAATGTATACAAAGGTCAAAGTGGAGCAGGTTCACTCTGCAGCTTTTCCTCACAGCACAATCCCCAAACTGCTGTTCTCAGTAGAGATGCTGGACCAGTGGGACACACGCTCTGAGATAGGTGCATTCACAACTGCACAAGTGCAAAGACTCATGACCATAACTAAAAATTACCTCATGCCAGACCCAGACCAGAGTTAGCCTGACACCCAACTGTTTTGGGTGTCCAATTTCTCTGGAAGCTGCCTCTTAGACCTGATTCAATGCCGATTACATCAGTGCAAATGCTCCTGGTAAAAGTGTGCTGAAGTGTGGCGTTGGAGCAGCCTTCGATCAGCTCTTGATGACAACAGCAGGAACGTCTAAGAAGGAGCTTTGCCAGTGGCTTGTTTTTCAGAGGTGAGGCTCACGTCAAAGAGTCAGTGGGTACCTGTGAGCCCAGAAACATGTCTAGAGAACATATGGTTGAGGGGGAGCACAGAGAGTCTCCCTACCTCCAGTTTGGGGGTGTCCAACTCAGCCACTGTGAAATTGCCTTTCATCAACATGCTGTGTCCTCTCATATTACAGGTATGGAAACTTCTCAGAGTTTGATGCTGGAAAGAGAGCTAAGTGTGCCTGCCCGCGCACTTCTCTCACCCATGATCCTTGATGCTCAGGTCCAAGCTGTGCTCCTGCAAGGAGTCCTGACTGGTGGCAGATGACAATCCCATGGCCTCCACGGGTTCCTGCTTCACTTGAACTGGATTGAACCGTCCCGGAGCTGCTGGTTGTCCATTCCCTGCTTGAGAAAGACACCAAAATTAAATGCAAAAAGTAGATGAAAAATATAGGTCTAGAATGAGGTTACAGTGGCAAATAAGTAAGTTAAATCACTAGCACCAGTGCATAAATGGAAAAAGCAAAGAAAAGTGTGGGGGGAGGGAAGTGCTGGGATTGCTGGTCAGCGTTTATTGCCAAGCTGACATGATGGGTTCTGACGTCCACTCCAGCGTGGAAATTCTTCAAGTGATAATTATTGCAAAATTATGTCAAAGTTGTCCAGGCTATGGGCCCTTTAAAGGAGAAGGGCGGAAGGAGCGTGGGGGAGACCTGATTCTCTGCACAAACTGTCATAACTAATTTGCGGGGCTGCCTCTTAAGCGTTTATTAAAGACTCTGTTAATGCTGAGGCAATGTGGCAGCTTTCGACTGCTAGTCAAGCCCCCTTTCTCGTCCCCAATCCCAGCGTTGCCGTAGCGACAGCGATGGCCCATCACTGCGCGTGCCCAGCAGGAGCATCTGCCCCGACCAGGCTATCGAAGGTGACAGCCAATGGGATTGGCTCAAACTGCGCGACCTCTTGCCACCGCCGTCATGTTGTCCCCACAAAAAGGGGGAATTCTTCTTTTTTTTGGCGGTATTTAGTACTGAGCCCATGAAAGAAAAATTCAAATTAAAGGGAGAGAAAAAAGAGGAAAGGGAGGAAAATGGGAGAACAAATTAAAGAAAAAAAATTAGGAAGAACAGCAAAGAAAAAAGGAGGGAAAAAAAGTTGCTGACAGGAACATGTCTGCAGAGCTTTTTTCCACAATCCCCAAGTGACTAAAATATTAATTTAGCCTCCAGCAGTACAGCTGACGGCGAGCTGCTTCTCAGACAGCAAGTGGCATTTTATTAAAAAATAAAGGAAAATAGTTCCCTCAATGACCTTTCTCTGCTTTAGGAAACAATTTTTCAAATAATAATTTTAAAAGTATGTGAAAGTTCCCCTCCCTCTTTAATCAGATCACTTCATCCTACTCCCTCGTTTGCTCTTGGGTAGAAGGGAACATCAGCAGCACTCACATACCCGTGGCCCAGCAGCCTCCTCTGGCCTTTCCACACCCCGGAGAAGGAGGCTGTGGGGCAGCCCAATGCCACAGGGCGCTGCCAGGCAGAGACTCCCCTCTAGGACCCTCCATTGCCTGCCATGAGCTGCTGTGTTGAGCAGGAGGTAGTGGAGATACCCTGTGCTCTGGAGATAGCCCCATGTCCCCGCTAGCAGGGCTGGGCACAGGCAACGACCTGCCCCAGGTCTAGGTGGCAGCAGGAAGAGCTCCGGGCTGCCCCAGGGGACTTCTCATTCCCATCTTTTACCCCACTCGCGGCGCTGCTGCCCCTTGCAGCTCAGGGAGAAGCACAGCTTGCAAGCACTGAACAGGAGAAAGGTCCAGTTTGTGGACTGTACCAACACTATCTCCAAACCCACAGCTGGGACAACAGAGCTGGAGCACAGAACCAACCCCCCCAGATCAGAAAAACAACTGGCAATGAGCTACAGGACCAACACCACTAGGCCCAGCCAAAACTCAATACAGTCTGCAGAAGAGGGCTTAGGCTGCTGTATGGCCTGCAAGTATTGGCCCAGCTTTTTCTTCATTTCCATTTTAAGACAGCACTTCTGTCCTTCCAGCCTACAGCAAACTAGGTACACATGGCAACACTGTTCCTTCAGATCTGCTAAGAGCCTACTCCATTTTTGGGCAAAGCTGTGTTTCCTGCCTCTCTTCTGGCCACGAGGGTATAGTCAGGCTCCACAGGAAACCATGCCTAGAGTGCCCTCTTCAAGGGTTAACTGAACATGACCAAATTTCTTCTCCCATTTATATTCCTTTACTACCTCCTCCCCCCTCCAGTCCCATGGACAACTGGACGGCTTCTCATTCACTCCTCTCCCAATTCATCAGGCACTGCTCTTCCTCCCACCACTAGCACAACTGATGAGGGTAACTCACCTGCTTCAAGTGCCACAGAGGGCTTGAGTGCAGCTGCTGCCAGCCTGGCCATCATAGGAGAGATTAATCCCTTGCTAGCAGAGATCCTTTCCATTATAGATGCCGCTGGAGCTGGAGAAGAAGTAGCTGCTGGCTCACCAGATCCTGAAATGGCCTGGGATGAGGAATCCGTAGAAGCAGATGATGTTGGATTGGTGCCAGAAGAACCAGCAGTCATCAGATTAGCTGAGCTGGCAGGAAGTGGTGTAGAGACCCGACTGGGGATGATGGGGAAGAAGGATCCAGCTGTTCCAGAAAGTGCTGAGTTGGAGAGTGCCAGGGCCAAGGGTATATTGCTGGGAAGAGCCTGGGAGAGCAGGCCAGAGATCTTAGTGGCTGGTGTCATGCTGTTGGCAGATTTGCTGGCCTGTGAGGAAGCAAGCTCAGCACCAGAGGAGGGCGCAGCTGGGACTATGAGAGAAACGGAAGACTGTTGACTGGTGGGGGAGGCACTCAGGCTGGAGTTCTTCGAGCTCATAGCGGAGAAATCAATAAGGTCATCATTACTGGACTCCTCTTGCTCATTATCCTTGGACCCCAGAAGAGAGGCAGGCAGACCCAGCACTCCTGAGCTCCGGATGTGCCGGCGCTCATGTTTGCGTTTATGGGAGGTCATCTGGCTGGTGGAGGTGAAGGTGAAGCCACAACCTGCCCTTATGCAGTGGAAGTGGTTGGTGGCCTTGCTGTAGACACAGCCCTCATACTTGCATTCCTCATACTTATAGAACTTCTTGAAGCCATCCTTGGCATAGGCGTCATCTTTGATGTGGTAGCTCTTGTGCTTCTCAATGTCACACTTGTTCTTGAAGGTGAATGTACACCCAGGTCGCCTGCAAGGGCATCGAGGAGGAGAGGGTGGTTGGCTGTGTGGGCTAGGAGCACAACGCAACTGCTGTAACCTGCCTCCCCCTGGGATAAAGATTGGGGCCAATATGAGGCAATGGCCCTGGCTGCAAAGGGGTTGAGGAGCTTTATGCGGGTTAACCGGTGACACCAAGACAACCAAAATGCTGCCATGTGAGAGAGCTGGGAAGCTCAATCCACTCTGAGGAACAGCCACAATAACATGGGGATGCAGGCACCCACCACTAAGAGTTCCAACCAAAACAGCAGCTAAAGGGGACTAAGGTACAAACTGTGCTTCCCTACTGTTCCTGAGAACAACAGAAATCAATAGAAGAGCATTTGTGTACAAAAGGCAGAGTCTGGCCCTGAAAGGGATGAGCTGGCTGACTGTTGGCTGGAGAGAACTCTGCATGGAAGTGCCATTAGCAGTATATTAATGGCCTACTTCAGTCAAACTCTGAATAGCACTGTGATCTCTTTCCCAAATGATTCTAGGATGTATTTTCTAGTGGGTACACTTTCCTCAGATCATCTCATAGAGAGACCATTCCTGCCTTCTGAGCAGTCTGTGGCAAGGTCCTGGAAATCACATCTGCCCTGGGGCTCGAGTTCTCTCAAAAGCAGTACTCAGAAGGTCACAGCAGGGAAAATCAAGTCCCTGTGTGTAGTCCTCAATTTATGATTTGGCAGAAGGAGGCAAACAGACCACGCAGCTCTGAGGCAGGATTCCTCCCCTTCCCTGCTGTCTCACCTGCAATGAAAGTGAGTGGTTTTCTGGCCGTAGAACTGGCATTCCACAGTGCCGCAGTCCTCCGTGGCACGGAACCGCTGAAACCCATCATTGATGAGCTGCGTGTTCTTCTTGTGAAAGTTCTCATGGGTCATCACATCAGAAGTGCTTGTGTAGACCTTGTTACAACCCACCTACCCCAGGCCAAAACAGGGAGTCATCAGCACAGCATTTTAACAGCCTACCATTATTACCAGCAATAATAAGCATATGAGCAGCACACATACATTTAATGGTTCCATTTGTGCACTTCTCCTAGGAGTATTAAGTCATCACTTTAATCCCCAATCTAAAGACTGATAGAGCAGTTGTGAAAAAAAACCACCACCACAATTCTCTGGGCATGAAACAGTAAGAAAAGAAGGGGAGGATGCAAAGGGATAAAAGACCAGCAACAGATAATCGTCCTGCTTAGGGAGGCAGTAATCAGGGTTCCTGCTCTTAAGGAGAAAAGAACACTGACAGATGTCATTACTTTTTGTTATCTTGGAGCGACATGGAACAAAGTAGGACTTTCATCTATTTGGGGAATACAAAACTGAGTGGGAATGAGTTATTTACCTCTTTAGTCCTTCTGGGAGATAAGGCAGGGTGGTGCAACATGAGGCCAATCTTTTGAGCTTGTAATATACGGGTTTCATTCTAGCAAAGTATAAACCTTATGTTCAGCTGATCTTACCAAACCAGTGACTTTTTTCCCCGTCACTGTTCAAGACTACCACTTCAATACTTTTAAACTCATGCAGCAAATGGGAATGGTGTGACAAGGACGGAATGCTGAAAACCTGCCTTCCTCTGGGTAAAGCGGGCAACTTTGCCATATTGAGTAAAAAAACACTGGAATCTGAAAACGTCCTCAGCCCTGCTGAGGGAGGATTTTTTTTTTTCCTTTTCTTCTCTAGCACAACGTGTGCCAATGCCTGCACCATCTCAGAAGTGAAGAGAACGAAAACACCACCTCTTAGTTCAGCCCAGGTTGATTCAAACAGGCAATAACAAAACCCATGACAAATACCCAGAAAAAAAAATAAAAAGGATCTCCAGCTATTTCCAATATAAAAGAGCCTCTCTCTCCCCACACTGACACCTTGAAAAAAGACAGACCCTGCACGGCATTAAAAAAAAGAATTAAACAAAAACCTCCTTAGGAATAATTTGCAATGCAGCTCTTGGTGCTAAAGCCTAAAAAAATGTCAGTTTATATAAACAACTAACTGAATTTTATCCACACCAATTATGGACATAAAGAAAAAAACTCCCATGAGATGGATGGCACAAATTCTGCCATTTAAGCAGTATTTTCTTTAATTGGGAGTTTATATTCAGACACCTTTCCTGTAAGACACTGCTTACATGGGCATTATTTTACTGGAAGACAGTGGGCACAGGATGGAATTACCCATATATAGTTGTGTAAACGGGGGTCTCTATTCAAACTCAGAGTGACTTAAAGCTGTGAAATATTCCTCATACTCTAAAACAAAATTAAACAAATCCCATCCTGGTCAATTGAAAAAAACTGAACAATCAATATTATGGAAGCATAACAGAAAATGTCCTCAAGAGAAAGTCACATGAAGCTCCCAATTTAACAAATGTTGTAAGCACATGCTTAAACCAACCCCTATTCAGGACAGTACTTGAGTGCATGCCTAACATTTAAGTATGTGCTTAAGCCCCATTGACTTCAGAAAGCTTACCTGACTGCAAGTTAAACATATGCTGAAGTCTATCCCAGCAAAGCGTTTAAGCATGTGATTAAGGCCTTGTGACTTTAACTGGGGTCTTAAACTGCTGGGATAGGGCAGGAAGCAGATCTGAGTTTTCAGAATAGAAAAGCTTTCACCAAGGCTTGCCTGATTATTCTGTTTGTAACTACAGCACATTCTCATAGCAATGGTTTAGGCTACAATTCTAATGAAACAAGTACATATCAAACCCTCTAATCTGAAAGACGATCAGGGTAAGACCCAAACAGTGTGGCGTGTCCGTGTCTAAAAACAGTAAAGGCATCACAGTTACATCTATGCAGCAACTCCAACTCTGGTTACACTGCTGTTGAAGCCTGGCTGGCTCTTGAAACAAAGCTCCCAGCCTACACCACAGGCAAGTAAACTCCAGTACCATTGGTGAAGGAGATGGAGAACCAGGGGTGTTAAGTCTAGATACGTGACATTAAAGTTTAATTACTTTAGAAATTGATTATGGAGAAAATTAACCCAGTGTTAAAGGGCAGATGTGTCACAGAAAAGTTTGATTTCAAGGGAGTGACAGATCAGATTTGGGTAGAGGCAGTGCAGTGGCACCACAGAGAAGTCCCTGAATCTCAGAGAATGGGACTTGTTTGAACAAGTCCAAGACTGTGAGAAAACCTTGAGACCTGCTTTGCCTCATTGTGTGCGCAAGACTTCTAAAAACAGAGAATGGTGCTTCCCTTTGCCCTTCCCAACACTTGGCAGGGCAAGTGCAGTGAGGACGGGGCACAGACTCTTCAAAGAGGTGCCTGAATCAGAAGTGAGCAAGAGAAGCTATGAATGGTTAAGATGTCACCCCTTTGCTGCAGGGCAGCCCCTTGCTCTCCAACAAGGAAGTGTTGGGCTGCCTGAACTCAGGAATCCTTTCAGTCCATCCCAAAAAGGACACAGCTCACACAATGGCTCTTCATTTGCCTCTGTGCTACCACCTATTCCCCAGTCCAGCTGTTACCTGCATGCAGTGGTAGTGTGTGCTTTTCCCATTCAGGTGGCAGCCATGATAGTACACGCTACAGTCATCCAAGGGGCTGAAGCGCATGAAGCCGTGCTGGAGGGAATTATCACGTTTCTTGTGCATGTTGTAATGCCGAATCACATCCTGTTTACTAGTGAATCTCTGGAGAGATACAGAGACAGACAGTGAGACACACGTGATGGGAGTGGGTGAGTAATCCTGGGGGTAGGGGTGGTTTTTTTTTTGTTGTTGTTGTTAATAAACTTATGGTACCAGGAGTTTAAAGCTCAGCAGTAATCACCCCAAGAGAGTCAGATTAAAGAGGAATTGTGTGCATGTATCTTCTTGGTAAAGGGAAAGTATATACACATGAGAAGTTGTTGAGTAAACATGACACTGGGGTGATGTCCAGAATACGCTCCCTGCAGCTTTATGACTGCAATTCTTCTAACATAATTTTAGCTGCTACTATCTCAAGAACTGCTATAGTTAGAAAGCAAACCAGTGAACTAAACAGCCTACAAGAGAGTAATCCAAGCTTCCAAATCACTCACTGCAGTGGTTAGCAAAGACACTGGCTGCCACATTCATGTCAGACTAGAAACTGGGAAAAACACTCTGCTCTTTTACAGTATCTTCCCATTGTAAGCCTTCTGCCTCCCCTACAAGGTAGGATGGCTTTATTAGGAAAACAGGGATGGTGAACTTTCTTCCACTCACAGAAAAAGATGGTAGGAGAGCTCAGAGCTACATCTGTATGACCAGAATATCCTTTTCATCCTCTATCTGCTTGAAGTAATGAAGGGGTACCCCACTGTCAGAGCAGGCTAAGTGCCTTTAAAATGAGGCTTTTCATTTCTATTTCCCACAGACATCAATATTTAACAGTGAAGGTGGGAAAGTAAATCTGGGGGTTTTTTTTCTAAAGAAATCAATATCCATTTATTTTGAGGAGTAATTGAAAAGACCTGTATTCTAATGTTTAACAACTTTTCTAGTCTCCCTCATAGGAAACAAATGATTATCGCTTCCACT